CTATATCTATCTATCTATCTATCTATCTATCTATCTATCTATCTATATATATATATATATATATATATATATATATATATATATATATATATATATATATATATATATATATATAAACAAATATAATCAAATATAATCAAATAAATGTATTAAACAATTCACATTAAAAACTTTATTATTAGAATTTAAGGATTTGCTTTCTTTAATTTAAATCATTCTTCATATTTAGACTAGGCATTAATTACCCTAGTTAAAAGCCTATGAATAAAGTATTTTAAATGACATTCATACATGGTTATCAAAAAAATATATATAATAATTTAAAAAATCCACACAATAAACACAATCATTTATCAATCCCTAAAATGGGTCAAAATTCGTCAAAAATATGATAAACATTTGTGTTTTTTAATGAAAGTGATTGCACTCTTAATCACAAGAACAATATTTACAAATCAAAGCATTTCACACTGTATTTACATTAAAATGATCAATAAACAAATGTTTAACGTTCTTTCTTTATTATAATATATGCCATGTCATGATTTCATATCATCGTAAAAATAAGAAAAGTAGCATTATTATATTTATGATTAAACATTATTATTATATAGGGAAAATCATGAAACTATTATAATTTTATATTTATTTTTCTCATTTAAACTACAAGAAAACCTCGTATTAAAGCCTCTCACGTTAAACGCAAACACATAGGCTACATGACCGGCGTAAATTGACACCTAAACAGATTTGATGCAATATAATTATTAATTTATTAATAAACCATTCTTGTGTTAGGCGGTTCATTCCGCTGTGGCGACCCCTGATGAATAAAGAGAATACGCCGAAGAAAAATTAATGACTGAATCCTTGTGTTGAAAGCGTGTAAAAGTCATTTAATTATCCTTTAATCATATTAAAACAACAAGCGTGACAATTCTGTGTCATTACAAATGTGCAAAAGCTGGCTCGTGTTTATCTAATCATAAAATTAATATTCACAGAATCATTTCATTAAACAAAATCAATCTGATTACATTACAGATAAATTAAGGGTCAGATTAGGTAAACAGATTATTTAAGTGAGCGCTTGTTCTCTGATTAATGCTATTCTGTAATATATAGTAGTTTATTTCATGATCCTGGCGACTTTTACATTTATTAATTGTATTACGTGTCGATCAGTTTAGGGAAAGAGAAAGAAGAAGAAATATAAACAATTCTTGGTTAAGGAAAGTCCCAATGATAAAATAGCAACAAAATAAAATAAACTTCTTCAAAGCAACTCAATTGTTCTTATTAAATCTGTTTACATGTTTGTGGGTGAGGTCCTCCACAGTCCAACACATGCGCTATGGGTGACTTGGATCACATAATTTTTGCTGTTTTGTGAGAATGAGTGTGTATGGCTGTTTTCCTGTACCTAGTATAACATATGCTGGAATAGTTGGCGGTTCATTCCACTGTGGCGATAAAAAATCTGATAAAAAAAGACTAATCCGAAGGAAAATTATTGAATGAATATTTTATGTCGCATGATAAGGCAGATCGGCAAGATCCTTCATACTCTGAGACTGATAGTCAGTTGTTTGATCAATCCTTTCATTTATCAAACTGTCATGTAAATCTGCATTTAGTCAAATATTTCCCCGCAAAAGCATAATATATAAGCGACATGTTGAAGAGGAAAGTGGAAATAGGAATTTCTTGTAAAACAATGTCTCTAAAAACTTCCAACTAGTAGTAATATTAATAACAATACACAACTAACTTTGGCCTATAATATCACTGCAATATACACTTGTACAAATTCGAGACATTTAAGTATTTCATATAAGGAAAATAACCAATTTTACCCTTGTATAATAAACGATGACGCTAATTTAAAGTAAAATAAATTACAAATAGATAATACATAATACAAACGAACTCCAGTGTTTAAGTCCATATATTATCTGATAAAACCTGCAGTAATGTAATTTATGGTCATTTCACAAAGCACAGTTCCAAATGCTTAAAAAACAAACTTGCAACATATTTAATTTATGATTGGCTGTGAAATATCCTTAAAATATATTTCCCCAAATAATTTAAGCTTTGTTTATTTTATTTGTCGTTTATAATGAATAGCCAACATTGACTTGTTAACGTACAAAACAATGTCAGGCTCACTGTTAGGCGGGTCTTTTTTGGATGAATCAGTCGTGAAACTTACTGCATTTTTTTACAGTCAAAATAAAATTAAATAATTACATAATACAATAAAAAAAAAAAACATTTACAAGAAAATTCCATTTAGGATTTTAGGCTGTAACTTCTTCGAGATGTCATATTCGCTGTACATTTTATTTTTAATTTAAGTATACCCACACAAACAATAGTCAAGTGAAAAAGCATTATCCTACTTGCTTAATATGCTAACAACAAGAACAAAATATACTAAGAACACATGAAAATATTGCGGCAAAGTTGGTTTTATACTCGCAGATTTGACAACTCGTGACTATTGTTTACCATGGTAAACCACATCACATGTAAGTGACTTCAAAACAGCACTGGGCTGCGTTTCCCAAAAGCATCGTAAGCCTAAGAAGTTCGTAGAAATGATCGTACGACTGATCTTAATATTACGGTCTGTTTCCCAAAAGCATCGTAACTTAAGTAGCACTTGAAAATCTTCGTGGATCTACGAGTGCTCTGGAGTAATCGTAAAGCCTTAAGTGCATCGTAAGGAGACAGAGTTATGAGGGCACCTGCTGGACAACCGGCAAATTGCACCTACAATTTACTTCTCTTCAAAGTCATTATTCATTTTATTTGTACGTATATCTCTATTCATTTATATTTTCTACACATTACACAATTCAATATACAAATAATAATAATTAATAATTAGGCTAAACTTTTCAAAAATAAATGTAAGAGCTTATTTATTTATTTATTTATTTACTTATTTATTTATTTTGATGTGAGATAAGCAATTTTTGATAAAGAAATTGATAAATAATACTACTTAATTAAGGTTTCATATAAATATCGAAAATGATGCTGATGTCATTTCCGGCAAGGACTGTTAGAATTAGTTTTATGCGAGATTGGAGCAAGACGGTGTTTTTACAGTACGACATTTCCAGTTAATTTATGTTTTTAAACTGGCTCAAAAATATTTTTTTTTATGTTATTCGAGTTGAATATACATTCACACAAGTAGAAGAAGAATTATATGGATTGCTATAACATGTGCAACAATAACGAGCCATTCTATAGCGTGACATTTCAGCACTTAACAAACGGATAGCGACTCCTAAGTTGCACTTAAAGCTGGGCTACGTGCAATTGTGTTAAGTGCATTTTTGGGAAACGCACGTGAAACAATAACGAACGTTCGCAAAATGACTCGTAGAAAACGCTCTTAAGTGCTAAGATCAATCGTTATCGGGAAACGCAGCCCTGTTTATTTCAGTGTGAGCAGTGTTGTACTTCGATAGTCATTGGCGGCTAATATGATTACACTGTTTGGAACTAGCTACGAATGCTTTTCTGAAATTATATTATTAGGAGAAGGGCCAAATGTGTGAGTATAAAACCAACTTTACCTCAATATGAAAAATGCTTTCGTCCCCGTTCTCCCCAATACAGCAATTTCTACTCCTAAACATATTTTTCGAACTTAATAATAATGTAGTTATATTAAAATAAATCAATAAATAATCAATACATTCAACTTTGAATATCTTGCATTAAGTTGGATTTACATTAAATGCAATTTCGGTTTTTAGGCTGTAGCTTCTTCGTTTCTTTAGGGCTTCGTTCTTCATATTATTTTTACTTTAAGTATACCCACATAAACAATACTTAATATAACAGCAAAATAAAATATACTAGCCACACAAAATTAGGTTAATGAAAAATACTGAGGTAAACTGCTTTTATGTTTGCACATTCGTTTAGAGACAACTTGTGACACGCTCCCAATATTGTTTACCACGCTGCTTTGAATATTCGCTCTGAATTCACATGTAAATATGACTTAAAAACAACATTAGCACTATTTATTTGGCTGTAAATAACGTTATCCTTTGATAATACTTTGATATACTTTGTTAATCATTGGCTGCTGATATGAGTTCACTGTTTATCTTTTGCAAAGAATTCTTTTCTAAAATTATATTATTAAGGAGAAAGTCCATGTGTGAATATAAAACCAACTTTACCTCAATATGAAAAATGCATTCGTCCCCGTTCTCCCCAATACATCAATTCCTGTACTACACAACACATTTTAAACTTAATAATCAACAAAATTATAATAAAATGAATCAATAAATATTTAATACATTTAGAATATTCTGTATTATAGGATATTTTCTATGTAGGCCTATGTAAAAATACAATTTAGGTTTTTAGGCTATAGCTAGTTTGAAATGTCTTATTTGTAATGAAATAAATTAAATTTTTAATCAAGAACCCACACAAGCAACATCCGAGTGAAAGAAAAAAACACTATCACATTAAAAGTGCACGCTCTACAACAATTTCTAAGTTAAAATTATTGCTATTCTTCAACATATATACATACATAAGAAAATACAATTTAGGTTTTAGGCTATAATTCAAGATATGATATTTGCTGTTTATTTTAATTTGTTTTACATTTCTCATGAACACACAAACAATAACCAAGTTAAAATTAATTATACACATTTTTTTTCACATTATATAGCGATTATATCACTAAAAAATATTCATTGGATTTCCTAATTTTTTTAAGGTAAGTGGTTGCAAACAATTTATATGAGCTTAATTTAAACAAATTAAGTTGGAAACCACTAAAATATATTTGTTCAAATTCAGCCCACATAAAAAGTTTGCAACCACTTACCTTAAAATTTAGTAAACCCAATGAATAATTTCAGTGTACACTTATACACATTTTTAATCCTTTGTTTAAGAAAAAAAAAAAAAAACACGAAGTATTTTAAAAGCGTGTGAATTCTCACCTAAATTGGGGTGTCTAGCAGCGGCCGCTCCTCCGGTCTGGAGGCTGTGCAGTACGGAGCTGTCGAAGTGCGAAGCCGTCCAAGAGGCTCCGATATTAGGGCTCACATAGGCCGGGTAACCGCTGTGATAAGAGCCGCTAAGAGCCCGAGACCCGAAATGCTCCCGGCTTGTATAAGTTGCGGTATCCCGGCCTGAAGTTAACGGAGGACTGGTGGAGAAAGTGAATCTGGACACCGGAGAATGATGGTGCCCGGTGCTTGAGTTATAGGAGGTGGTTTCCACGCCCGGCTGTGCCCATCCAGAGTGTCCAGACGCCGGGCTGCTCTGCTGGGGCGCCTGTAGGTACGGGAGGGCCTGGATCATCGGAGTCACCCGTGTGGGTGTCACGTACACCGGAGAAGTCGAGTTATGGAGGAAACCGGACTCGTAAGACGCAGCTCCGTGGTTGGCGGCCATCGTTACACCTTGATACATATCCACAGGTGAGCGATTATTGCTCCACGAGCGGCTGTCGGGAACCGGAGCTTACCGGGATGACCTTTACCCTGCACCCGCAGAGAGCATTTTCTGCTCGGCTTCTCCTGACAGAAAACAGCGGAGGATGAGGAGGGTGGACAGACTGAGGAAAGTTTCTCCTCCCAGTTTCCCTCTCTTTCAATTCTCTCTCTCTCTCTCTGTGTGTGTGTGTGTGAGATCAGGCTGCTCTCTCCGCCTCCAGTAAAGCGCACCTTGTATAGTGTAAAAAATTCGCAATGTTGCACTAAAATAATATGGTCTAAAAAACCATGCTGCATTATAAGCCTACTCAGCCTACATTTTCAAAATTAAATAGCCCTGGACTTTTACACAATGTCCTTTCTGTCCTATACTTTAAGTAAATTAATACACTGCATTATCAGTTTTCCACATTTTGTGATTCATGTTTCTAGTTTTTGTTTTCCCCGTTTATTTATGCTTTTATGAATTTTGACCTTAATTTTTCTTCTAACTTTTAACCTTGAAAAGTTTGAAAAAGTGACTTTTATGAAGATTTTTAATGGTTTAAAGTGCATCTTGTCTGGGTTAGTGTTGCGCATTAGTACACAGCACTATCACAGCATTTTTAATTAGCCTACATTTTGATGAAATTTAAATGATTTTTTTAACCCAGCATTTTTATTGCTTAAATGCACAAAACAACCATCCGCGTCAAATAATCAAACACATCTGCAATCTATTTTTTAAAACTTTTTTTTATTTCTTGTGTTATATTTTGTGTTTGTTTATGTAAAGCACTTTGAATTGTATAAAATATAGGCTACTATATTAATACACATCACCTGGGCATGCCTTACTTCTGAAACTAAATATGCTGGGTTGTTTTAACTCACACTGTAAAAAAAATCAGCAATTTTACGGTTTATTTCGGGAAAAAACCCGTAAAATAAATGCTGTTAAATTACAGAAATGTACTGTAAAATAAAGGACACTAAATGACAGAAATTGACTTAAATTTCTGCAATTTAACCTGTTAATTTACAGCAAATTTCTGTATTTTAACAGCCGTTATTGTACGTTTTTTCCGGCACCCCAGCTGTTGGCCGTAAAATTACGGTTTTGTTTAGTGCAAGCAACAAATGTAAACAAAACCAATTTATTTAGTCAGTACATAACGTGTAATTTGGGCGGCACGGTGGCTCAGTGGTGAGAAGGTCGCTGATTGGAGTCCCGAGTGGGTCAGTTGGCATTCTAAACACATGGTGAATTGAATAAATTAAATTGGCATACGTCTATTCGTGTGAATGCGAGATGGGTGTTTCTCAGTACCGGGTTGCAGCTGGAAGGGCGTAAAACACACTCAAAAATATATATTTTTTTTACTTGTTCAAACTACTTAAATACAATGAGCTGAAACAACTCTTGATATTTCATTGGGACTACTTTATGTTCAATCCACATAAATGTGTTAATTAAGTGAACATGGGACAACATAAATGAATTGTGTGGAACCCAGCATTTTTATGCATGCAGGATAAGCTGGCGGTTGATTCTGTTGTGGTGACCCCTGATAAATAAAGGGACTAAGCCGAAGGAAAATGAAAAAAATAACGTGTGATTTATCACCGCATATGCACACTCTTAAAATGCTGGATCCAATCCAAAAGTGCTTGATTAAATATAGGCATTTTGACGCCGATTTAACCAACCTGTTGACATTTTAAAAACATTTACACCAAAAATTTTTGTGTGTGCACAATTAAGTTTGCACTTTCAGAAATCTAATTTAAACCCAAATATGGTCTAAAACATGTATAACTACAAACATCCTCATTCACTTTTTTACACGGCATGCGGGAAAATCTGCGACTGTAAATGTGTAAACAAACTGTTTACAAAACAGACATGCTTTTATAATAATGATAATTACAGATAACTGGAAGCATGGCTCATGAACTCAAATTGAAAATGCTCGAGCTATCCTTAAAATACAGTAATAAAAAAGACCAAACACTGAAAGGATGAATATTAACATCCCCCAACTGCAGTTAATCCTAAAGATAGCACAGCTGAAGGACATTTTACATTGTAGGACCTTTTATATTAATATTAATTCCACTGAAATAAGTGCACAAAAATTTACTCCAGAAGAAAAGCGCTCATATTTCAAGAAGAAACCCTCATTAAATGATTATTAAGCGCTTACATGTGCACTAATAAACAACACCAGAAGAGAAAAGCAAACATCAATACACGAATCACGACGACTTTATTCCTGGAGCCTATAACTTTCTGTTTTTATTATTGATTTATTATTCTTTTAGTATTTTTATCAGAGACTAGCTATTCGACCTTACATGCTGGGGCTCAGTGGTTAGCAATGTCGCCAGCAGGTCGATGGTTCGAGTCGCGGCTGGGTCTGTTGGCATTTCTGAGTCATTTGGCATTTTGGCCATTTCCAGTCTGGTATCCAGCCATTTCCAGCCTGATCAGCTAAGACCAGGCTGGAAATAGCTGGAAACCAGCCTGAAAATGGCCAAAAACCCCTCTAAAACCAGCCTGGTCGATCAGCTAAAACCACCCAACCAGCCTAGGCTGGTTTAAGCATTTTTTTTCAGTAGGGTGTATATTAATATAATAAACATTAACTGCTTTTTAAATGTAAAACAATTATTATTTATTTTAGCTAAAAAGATTTAAGATTTTAAACACGGTCTGCATTAATATTTCAACATTTGATCAATTGTTTTTAATGTTCAGCAAGAGCAATGGATTTGATTAATGTCGCGCGCGACACTGACGTCACGCGCGTCCGCGATTGCCGGAAGCGTCGCTGCTGTTGTTTTCAATGACACATTTTTAACTGTCAATTGAGCTGTTAGTTATAAACAAACCGAGACTTACAGCATGTCCACTTCCTGAGGTTTACAATTATGTGCCTCAATAAGTGCCTTCCGCATCAATATCCAGGCCACTTTCGCACAATATCCACTATCTGCAGTGGGGGATATGCTGTTTCCCTTAAAAACATAATGAATACGTGTAGCTATTTTAACACATTTTATTAAGTTGAAATGCATCAACAAAAAGCTGTTGAGTTACAGCAGTTTAAATTACAATCTTTAACATCCTATAACATCTTTTTTTTTTTTTACCAAATGTAAACACTACAATGTTTTTATGGAGGAAAACGTATTTAAATTCACATTAAATATTATACTTTACCACTTTACACTTTATCTTGCTGGCTTTTTTAGTTAAATCAACTTGACTTTTCTAGCCATTTCGACTTACATCATTCAGTTTGACTAAAAATATTAAGATAAACTCATGTATAACAAAAAATAGCATTAACATAGTATAAGAAACAAAAACATTTGCTGTCATGATACATTGTTTATTAATTTTCTACAATGTATGGTGTTTTTCAACAATACTATACATTATTAGTATAAGTTTGACCCAACAATGGGTTACAACAACCAAGCATTTTTTAGTTTTTACTACAGTAAACTATTGTGTATTGTATTAAATTATAGTTTGTAGTTGTAGAAACTTGCAGTATTCAGTCATTTAGTTATATTACTATATGGGTTACCATAGCAACTGTAGAATCCCCACAAAAGATCACTATTATTGTTGTGTTACCATAGCAACTGTAGAATCTCCAAAAAAGATCACTATAGTTGTGTTACCATAGCAACTGTAGAATCACCACAAAATATTAATATTGTTGTTGTGATACTATAGCAACTGTGGAATCACCACAAACAATCAATATTGTTGTTGTGTTACCATAGCAACTATAGAATCACCACAAAAGAACACTATTGTTTTTGCGTTACCATAGCAGCTGTGGAATCCCCACAAAAGTTCACTATTGTTGTTGTGTTGCCATAGCAACTGTGAAATCACCACAAACAATCAATATAGTTGTTGTGTTACCATAGCAACTGTGGAATTATAGATAATTCAACCACTTGACTACAAACTGCACAATTCTGGGTTGTTTTAATGCAGCATTTGGGTCAAATATGGAAAAACCCAAACTGTTGCATCAATTTTAACAATTAAATGATTAAATTTTTTCCCTTGGGTCAAATATGGACAACTCACAAGTAAAAAGTTTTCAAAAGTAATTGTTTTAGAACTTAAACCAACGGTTAGCTTTGTTCATATTTGACTCAATGTTGGGCTACTTTCACCCAGTCTTTTTTACTACAGCAAACTGTGGGTACTATAATATAGCATACTCTGTAGTTGTAGAAAACTACAGTTCTCGATCATTTACTTATATTACTGCATATGTGTTACCATAGCAACTGTAGAATCACCACAAAAGATTACTATAGTTGTTGTGTTACCATAGCAACTGTGGAATCACCACAAAAGATCACCATAGTTGCTGTTACCATAGCAACTGTAGAATCACCACAAAAGACCACTATTGTTGCTGTCATCATAGCAACTGTGTAATCACCACAAAAGATCGCTATAGTTGCTGTGTTACCATAGCAACTGTGTAATCACCACAAAAGATCGCTATAGTTGCTGTGTTACCATTGCAACTGTGGAATCACCACAACAGATCACTATAGTTGCTGTGTTACCATAGCAACCGTAGAATCGCAACAGATCACTATAGTTGCTGTGTTAACATAGCAACTGTAGTATCACCACAACAGATCACTATAGTTGATGTGTTACAACAGCAACTGTAGAATTACAGTTTTATTAAAATACTTCACTACACATTTTACAAAATTCGGGGTTGTTTTAACCCAGCATTGGGTCAAACATGGACAAATCCAACAGTTAATTTGATTTTAATAATTAAGTTTAAATTAGAAAACTTTTTTACTTAGGTCAAATATGGACAAACTCTAAGTAAAAAAAGCAACACTTGGGTTTGTCCATATTTCACTCAATGCTGGGTTACTTCCACTTAGCTTATTTTACTACAGTAAACTGTGGTGTATTGTAGTATAACATACTCTGTAATTGTGGAAAACACTGTATTCAGCCATTTACTTGTACTACTATATTTGTGTCACCATAGCAACTGTAGA